TGATTCCAGGTGTTAGTCTAGTTAAACGCCCTCTGAGCTGCCTTCAATGCATTTACATCCTTCCTTAAATAAAGTGACCACGTGGCCGCAGAAGTGGTGGCCAAGTCTCGCTCGATGTTTCGCCCTGTGTCGCTGTTCAAGATTATAAACTCTGTTTCTTTCCTTGCAGATCTGTCTGCACACAAAACCTCAAACGCAGATTCACGAAAGGTGATCCTGCCCTTACCCAGGTGAGCTGTACTGCCTTGCTGAGTAACGATGGGGATGAAGGAAGTGAATATAGTATCACCCCAAGTTTGCAAAAATAAGTGGGAAAGCATGTGTTGCGAATGACACAAAGAGTCTGGAGAGGGAAATAGGTAATGGAGAGAAACTTGACAGATGGCGTACCATGTGGGAAATATGAGATTATGCGCTTTGGCAGGAGGAATTAAAAGCTGAATATTATGTAAGTGGGGAAAGATTGCCAATTCTTAAAAGCCTGTCTGGTTAACTAATATCACTGATGAAGGAAATCTGCTTTATCGGGTCTACACTTTGTTACTGCAGTAAGTGATTAACTCCTCACTACCCATTGAAATGGCCTGGGGAGTCACTCAGTTAAAAGGCAAGGAGAGCTAGCAACAGTGTGAATAGACACCTCGTACCCAGTGCAGCGCCACCCTATCCTCAGTGTCACTTCCACTGAGTCTCTGAAGGTCTGGTTTCTCTCTTTTTCTATCCCATATCAGTCTGGTTTCTCCCTCCTCGTGTCACTGTATTTTCTGTCTTCCTCTGACGTGTCATTCTATTTTCTCAATCTCTCTCTCTGTCTGTCTCTCTCTTTCTTTCTATCTCGCTCTTTCTCTCTCTTCCCCCCACCCCTCCTGTCCCTAATCTGTCTGGTTTTTCTCTCTCTGTCCTGTGACAGGCTCGTTTTTTTTCTCTCTCTCTTTCACACACACACACACACTCCCTCCCTTTCTCCCTCTCTGTCTGTCTGTCTCTCTCTGTCCCACGTCAGTCTGGTTTCTGTCTATCTTTGTCCAATGTCGGTCTGTGTTTTTTCTCTTTTTCTCTGACACACACACACACACACACACACACACACACACAGTCCCTGCCTTCTTTCTCATATCAGTTTACAAAGTGTGAATGAGCCCTGATGAGCTGCTTCCTGTGAGCAGGCGGGAGGAGCGTTGCAGTTAGCAACACCTCTAATCCTGTCTCAAAGTGCGGCCCGTTGTGGTTGTAAATAGCAAAGGGCTATCTCTTAAAAGCTTTCGGGAGGTGAAACAAGAGCAGTGCCTGAAGGGAGAGTGGGGGATGGGAGTGGGGAGGAGGGGCTAGCTGCTGCTTCCTCTCACAATGAACGCAGCTATTAACATGCCGCTTCAGGGAGCCTACACTGGAGCATAAAGCTAATAGAGCTAACATAGTTGTTTTGTTCCTCTACGCTAGGGCTAGCAACAGAGGCCGAGCTTCAGCCTGCAAACAGGAGCAGCGAAAGGGTAGATCAAGAGTGACCATGCGGCTGGAAAAGTCACCGAAGCCGGAGAGCAGTGAGGAGGGGCCTAGCGATGAGGAGGCTGCAGACCCTGATGCTCTTTCAACAACAACTTCACCTGGAACACCGTCCGAGAGCGGCGAGGAGGACACTGTGGACCCTGAAACTCTTTCAGCTCCATCTTCTCCGGATGCACAGTCCGAGAGCGGCGAGGAGGATACTGTAGACCCTGAGGCTCTTTCAGCTCCGTCTTCTCCGGAAGCAGATTCCGAGGCCGAGAGCGGTGAGGAGGGTTCAAGTGATGGCCCTGAAGATGCAGAACAGACAGAGTCCCAGAACAGGTTAGCTGACTGTGAGAAATGCAAGGTTGGTTGGTGGGATATGATATCCAGAGAGATGGAAGATTGCTGTAAATGTTGTTTCCCAATGTGTTCTGCACAGACTTTTGCAAACAGTCTCTCTCATACACAGACTTACTGTTACATATGTACTGTCTCTGTCTCTCACACTTTCTCACACAGTTACTCCCACACAGACACACACTGTCTTCCTCACACACACAAACTCTCTCTTTCACACACAGTCTCACTCACACAATTGCTGTCGCACAGATACACTGTCTTTCTCACATACACAAACTCCCTCATGCACAATCTCACTCACACAATTACTGTTACGCACTTTCTTTCTCTTTCCCTCTTACTCACAATTACTGTCACATTTTTTTCTCTCACACACAATCACACTCTCTTATGCAGTCTCTTTCTTTCACAGACACAGTCCCTCTCTCACATACATCCATACTATCTCACTCTTTCTTTCTCTCTAACACACTCACATTCACCTACTCTCTCTCACTCTCTGTCACAAACACTCTGTCATACTTTCACACTCTCATTCATACTCTGTCTCTCGTGCAGTGCCTAATGCACACTCTTATAGTGATGGGCTCTCTCTCATACTCTCAAACTTTCTCTGTCATACTCTCCACAATCTCTCACACGTGCTGTCTCATAATCTCACTCTCTCCCTTGCATAGTGTCTCTCTCGTACTCGGATTCACACAGTTTGTTTTGCACACTCACTCACCCTCATACTCTGACACACTTTCTCACACACCCTTGCCCCCTTGCCCTCTTGCCCTCACACGCGCACCCTCTCTCATACTCGCACACCCTCACCCTCTCTCATACTCGCACACCCTCTCTCATAGTCGCACACCCTCATACTTTCACACTGACACACACATACTCTCACTCTCTCTCTCACACACACAAACATACACACAAACACACATACACTCTCTCTCTCTCTTTCTCTGACACACTCTGTCAAATGCAGCCTCTCTCACAGTAATCTCCCTCCATTGCACTCTCCCTCTGTCATACCCTCCCTCATACATTTCTCATTATCTCTAGCTGTCTCTGTCTCTCATTCTCCCTCCATCTCTCTCTCTCGTACATGCTGTCCTGCACCCTCTCTCACACTCTCACTCTGTCTCTCTCTTTCTCCCGCTCCGCGCTCTCCTGCCCACCCTGTCTCCTGCCCCCATCTCTACTGTGACCCCCCCGTCTCCCTCGACTCCCCGTCCACCTCGACCCACTCATCTCCCTCGTCCCCCCACCGTCTCCCTCGTCAATCCCCAGTCTCCCGCACTTAATCGCACTCTCTCTGACATGCTTTTTCATCTCTTTTTCTCTCTCACTCATAGATACACACCCACTCTTTATCTCATTCACTCTCTCTCCATCACACATGCACAGCCTGTACGCTGTCTTAATCCCAAATCCATGTTCTTGGCCCCAGCCCCTGCGCACAGTCCCTCGGAGCCTCATACTCTCTGTATAATGCATGCAGACTCACTGTGCCACTCTGACACTTTCTGTTCATAAAACATGCTCTTGGTGCCTGACACACAGACAGGCACGCACTCTTTCTCACACACACACTCTCTCTCACACAACTGTTCAGACTCGTTCTCCTTCTCACACAAACACGCTGTCGCAAATAGAAACACAGATTTGTACACGCATGCATGGACACTTACTTCCTCTGACGTGCACACACATGTATAATCACTCTCTTACAAAAGGACACTTAGGTCCTTTTGACACACACAGACTGTCTTCTGTTTCTCACATGCGTGCGCACATACACATACTGTCCACATGCGTGCAAGTACACAACTATTACTGCTCACCCAAAACTACAATCATAGACTGCAAGAGATCTACAGCACAGAAAAAGGCTGTAGGGCCCATCGCATCCACACCGGTCAAAAACAGCTACCAACTATTCTAATCCCATTTTCTAGCACTTTGCCTAAAACTTTGTATACCTTAGCACCACAAGTGCACATCTAAACATTTCTTAAATGTGATGAGCATTTCTGCCTCTACCACCCTTATAGGCAGATTCAGATTCCCACCATTTTCTGGTTGGAAAAATATTTCTTCATATCTCTTTTAAACCTTCTGCCCCTTACCATAAATCTGTGCCCCGGTCATTAAACCCCCAGTAGGGGGAAAAGATCCTTCCTGTCTACTCTATCTGTTCCTGGCATAATTCTACACATCTCAATCATGTCCCCTTTCAATTCTCTACTCTGAGGAATGAATCCAATTACTCTTTGTAACTGAAGTTCTCCAACTCGGGAAACATCCTGGTAAATCTGTTCTGCACCCTCTTCAGTGTCACCACATCCCTCTGATAATGTGGATTCCAGAATTGCGCACAACATTCCGGCTGTGGCATAACCCACATGTTATACAGTCCTCGCATCATCCCCAGCCCTTAAACTCTCTGTCTCAACTAATAAAGGCCTTTCCCGTATGCCACCTTCACCACTTTATCCACCTGTCCTGATAACTTAAGGGGCCAGTGTACATGTATACCAAATTCCCTCTAATCCTCAATGCTTCCCAGGATTCTTACAGTTCATCATGTATTCCTTTGTCTTGTGCGTCCTGCCAAAGTGTATCGTCATACTTTGATCAGATTGAATTCCATTTGCCGCTGGTCAGACCATCTGATGAACCTGTCCATGCCGTCCTATAATCTAAGGAGTCCCTCCAAGACGTCTTGTTTCCCCATCCTTTTTACTAACGCTTTTTGCTGACCCTCTTCTGTACCACTCCCTCAACCCCCATCTAAAAAGAATGCATTCCAGTCGCTGTTCCAAATTGACTTTCTGACCTTTCTCAAAAAAAAAATTACCTTCTCACTGCTGATCATAACATACCTCTTCTTAAAACAAAGTCAAACTCCCAAAACTGATTGATGTACTGGCATTGGAGACAGTCCAGAGAAGGCTGATCATATTATGGAGCGTGAGGTCAAGTAGATTGGACCTGCTGTCTTTGAAAGTTTGAGGAATGAGAGGCGACTTTATTGAAGCACACAAGATTCTTCGAGGACTTGACAGGGTAGATGTGTAAAAGTTGTTTCCCCTTGTCAGAGGATCTTGGATCAGAAAGCATAATTTCAGAATAAGGGATCGTTCACACTGACCAGGGTGGGTCATTAAGTATATTCGAAGCTGAAATGGACTGATTTTTAATCCGTAAGGGAATCGCAGGTTATTGGAGGGGGGAGGCAAGAAAGTTAAGTTGAGGATTATCAAATCAACCACGATCCCATTGAATGGTGGAGCAGACTCGATGGGATTGAATGACTCATTTCTGTTGGTCCTTCTTAAAATCTTTTGGTTGTTTACCATCCTGTTTAGTGTCCGTTTGCAACTAAGGACGCAGCAGAAAGATTGAATAATTACACAGCGGCTTTACGTCTAAGGAGCAGGTTGGTCTGCCAGATCTGTCCACGCCACGCTTTTTATTCTCGTTCACTCAGGGAAGGTGTGCACTATCCCATTGCTCCAAAGTAAAGGATTGGCAAATGTATAAACCAGCACTACTGCCCCTTCATCCCCAGCCATTTTTCAGCCAGTGAGGTACTTTTGAAGTGTAGTCACTGTCAGGCTGTAAAAAGTGCAGGAGGTCTGTTTGGACATGTCAAGTTCCTACAAACTGCGATATGATAAGGATCAAATTTCACATTTATGTATCTGGGTGTGCCTGTGTGAGTGCGGTGTCAACCAAGGGATAAATATTGACCATGGGTGGTGGACAGATTCCCCTGATCAGCTTTGAAATGTTGTTGACTATCCAGCTGCGAGGGTGGTCAGGGTTTATCATCTCAACCAAAAGACGCTACCTCCTAACATCAGAGGAAAATTGCAGAGCACGTACTTGCCTGGTCTGCAGCACTCACATCTCAATGAAATAATGAAGGGTGAAAACAGTCTTAAGCGCGATTTTCCCCATCGCTGTCCCCCCGCCCATATCCCTTAATATCTTTAACATGAGTGTGTGTGTGTCCCAGTTTCAGACCGCATGTGGTGTAGAGTTGTAGGAAATTTACTTCCTGCATCTACTCTGTCCAACCCTACCAGAATTTTACATACTTGGTGAGATTGCCTCTCATTGTTCAAAACTCTGTAGAAGACAGGCTTGATCTCCTGAATCTCGCCTCGTAAGACTGTCCTGCCTTTCCAGGGATCAGTCTGGTGAGCCTTCATCACACTCGTTCTATGGCAAGCACAGATGAAGCAGAACGATGCAGGGGTTGCACAAGACCAGGTGTGTATTCCCTCAAGTGATCTAATTGACATATTGTAGTCAAAGGATTTGTGAAGTGTGGGGGAGACGTCCTGTTTAAACATATAAGTGGTGTGACAGGGTGGATGCTGAAAGGGTGCTCTCTGTTGTGGGAGAGATAAGAACTTGGGAATAGCGTTTAAAAATATTGTTGATATAAAGATACACTTTGTCCACGCTTTTCGTCCTGCACTCATCAGGCCAATTTGTGAGAGTATTACTTCTGGGACAAGCTAACATTTATGTTACATCGGAGCAGAATGCTGATTGGTTGGCATGTGGACTTTAGCTGAATTCCTATAGCAGAGCACTTGGAAAACAGTGACAGAATTGAACAGAGTCAGCATGAATTTACAAAAGGGAAACCACGCTTAGCAAATCTACTGGAATTTTTTTGAGGGTGTAACCAGTAGGCTTAATAAAGGGGAGCTAGTGGATGTGGTTTACTTGACTTTCAGAAGGCTTTTGATAAAGTCCAGTATGAGTCCATCTCCTCCAGTGGTACAGATACTAGTCTTTAGCCAGTTCGATTCACTCCATGTGATACCAAAGAACAGTTAAAGACACTGGATACTGCAAAGGCTATGGGCCCTGACAGCATTCTGACAGTACTGAAGATGTGCTGCAGAATTTGCCGCTCCCCTAGCCAAACAGTTGCAGTGCAGTTACAACACTTGCATCTACCC